CTGCAGACCCTGCATACCGCTGTTCTCTTCTTATTACCGTCATCGACAACATAATCCTTGAATCCAAACTTCACTATTTGTGGAGTAACGCCAGCCGCTGCCATGTTAACTGACACTCCTGCCGTCTAGTGGGTTGCCAGGTTTGCGCGCACGGCGCTATAATCACCCAATCACGTTTTTCGAAAAAACTAAACGTAATATCTCACTACAAAAACAAATGCAAATATTTAATTTTAAACAGTCAAGTCCTTTCAAGTCATCTGTCTCAAGCTTAAGTCAAGTCTCAAGTCATGAATACCAAGTCAAAGTCAAGTCAAGTCTTTTATCAATGTTAGTCAAGCAAGTCTCAAGTCAAAGAATATGCGACTCGAGTCTGACTCGAGTCAAGTCATGTGACTCGAGTCCCCACCTCTGCAGAAATCTATCTTATAAATGTCTGCCTTTGACATTTTGAAACTCACATGTCTTTTTTCAAAAAGCATGAATCAGCTGTCCAGGTGAGAATCCACTCATTAAAACATGTATTTAGCACATCTCTGCACAGCCCTCCAATTTAAAATATAGCACAAGGTAGTCTGTGATATATTCAGTTTTTTTATAGACCAGGGGTGTCCAAACTTTTTTCTCCGAGGGCCACATACAGAAAAATATTTGAAGGGCTGGGCCGCTCTCTAGAGGTTTATCGCCTCATAAGTGAAGTTATAAGTTAGCTAAATAGATCAAATGTCAGTAAATGATGCTGCAGCCTACACCACAGCTCTCTGTAGGGTTTCATTTATTGTGTTAGCAGCTCATTCCTTAAAACAGAAGCCTCAGATTGCTGATCAGGGGAAATAGGAAGCGTTGTTATTTAAATAAGTTATTGGGCTCTTATCAACTTTTGTTGGAACATATTTTTAACTTGAATTGACTGAAATGACTTATTAACACGTGAACACTACTGTGTAACATATGTTTACAGATATATTTAAGAAGTACAATACAAGACAAGCTCAAGTTTCATTTGTGGGCCGTATTCCATTACACTTTTTGCATTTGGCCCCCGGGCCGTAGTTTGGACCTCCCTGTTATAGACCAAACGATTAATAAATAATGAAACATAAGCATTAGTTGCAAAGAAAAGTCAGATGGGTCCAGACAGTCTGAAAAGATAGAATCAATGCATGTGCTCTGTTTTATATTGCATAAAAGGTAATATCATTGGGTTTTGGACTGATACGACGACACGTTTAAAGACACCAGCATTATGGATTTGATGATCGACATGTCCACCAATTTTTGACAGACTCACATACTTTCAAACCTGAGTCAGTTTCATCCGGCAGGCAATAAGACTATTAAACACCTGAGCTCTGTGAAGAACATCCATAACATTCATCTGTCATCTTGCAATCTACTCATTTATATCAATAGTTATTACCGCAATAAACCGTATTTAATCTAGTCTTAATGTACATTATTTACTTTCATATTCTGTTCTTGTACATATCATATTCTATTTACATGTATAGAGACTTCTTGCTCTATTTTGTATTTTATTATATATGTTGCATTGTTGGAGGAGCTCAGGTCAGAAGAATTTCATTGATTTCTTTTTTTTTTTAGAAATCTGCTTTTCGTGAGAAATTGAGAAACTGGGATCGACGCTAGGCAAAAAGATACAGAGAAATATCTTGATAATTGATTAATCATTAAGGAAACTGCTATTTTCAGTCTCTAAAATTGAAAAAATGTGCAGTTCCCTGGGTTTTATATCATATTACAGTGAATATCTCTGGATTCTAGCCGGGAAATCCACGTTTTGAGAGAATTTGAGAAACTGGGATCGATAGTAGACATATTTTTATGTCTACTATCGATCCCAGTTTCTACAAAAAATACAGACAATAATCTGAATAATTGATTAATCGTTAAGGAAATAGCCACTATTTTTATTCATTTATTTTTGTATTGTATTATACATGTTGCCTTGTTGGAGGAGCTCAGGTCAGAAGAATCTCATTGCCATTTCCACTCAGTAGCTGCTGAGCACATGATAACACCTTTGAGTTTGAACGTCTGCACAGCCTTCTCTCTGATAACTGGACTCAAACTACCACTGTACATTTTACATTTATATTCAATCTAATATTAAATAATCCATTCCTTACACACTTAATGTAAATATAATATCCTGCTTTATATTTTGTTACTGTACATTTATCTTATGTACAATGCCTTGTCTTTTTATGCTGCTGCAACGCAAACATTTCCCAAATTGGGATCAATAAAGTACTTCTTATCTTATCTTATATTAAAATATACCACACTGTAGTCTGACATACATTCAGTGTTCTAAGTCTTTTAGTTTTTACGTTTTTTAGGTTCTTTTGTTTATTTAAATGTATATTTTTTACCTCTTTTTACAACTTATGTTCTTAAATTGTTTATGTTTGCACCACAATACACCAGAGCGAATCCCTCTGTGTGTACCTGGTGATAAACTTGATTCTGAATTCAGGAAGTTAAGTAAGGGATAATGTGCAGCGAGGCGGTCATTATGGCTAAAAGAACAGCCTGAAGTAACATGTAATGTACAGTAACATGTAATGTACAGTAACATGTAATGTAAGTAACATGTAATGTACAGTAACATGTAATGTACAGTAACATGTAATGTACAGTAACATGTAATGTAAGTAGCATGTAATGTACAGTAACATGTAATGTAAGTAACATGTAATGCAAGTAACATGTAATGTAAGTAACATGTAATGTACAGTAACATGTAATGTACAGTAACATGTAATGTAAGTAGCATGTAATGTACAGTAACATGTAATGTAAGTAACATGTAATGCAAGTAACATGTAATGTAAGTAACATGTAATGTACAGTAACATGTAATGTACAGTAACATGTAATGTAAGTAACATGTAATGCAAGTAACATGTAATGTAAGTAACATGTAATGCAAGTAACATGTAATGTAAGTAACATGTAATGTACAGTAACATGTAATGTACAGTAACATGTAATGTACAGTAACATGTAATGTAATGTAAATCCTTTTGAATTCTCCTATCCACTATCCCTGAACCCCGTGACGTTTCACACAGAGGTCAAGGAATAGACGATAGGAGCTGATATTTGGACTATTCGACTGCAACCTGGGTCTCGTTCTTTCCTTTGAGAGCTGCTCATTGGCGCATGAAGGCAAAATGGCCCAACTTTTGAGAGAGCGAAACGTCACAGATTACCCAGCATGCCTGGCTGTCAGAGCAGAAGAACCCGTATGTGCCCTCAGAGCATGTGCAGTTGAGTTGCCCCTTAAGCCCCGCCTCCTGTCCTTACGCCCCGCCCCCGAGCTCCTACTCTCGGCTCAGTAGAATGAATGGAGAGAGAAAATAAATCTAGATTCTGCTTTTAGTGCATTTTACAACTTTAAGGACCGAATGATTCTAATAAGGACTATAAAAGAGTTCATACTGGGTAGTTTATTTAGTTTAGTTAAAAATTATCCACCGATATACAGACGTCTCTTAATAGCAAAATATTGTGATACTCAAGTAAAGTACAAGTACATCAGAATTGTACCTAAGTACAGTACTTGAGTAAATGTACTTAACTTACAATAAGTTGTACTGTATTAATGAACATTTGTATTTCTGTGGAAATACTGTGCAGGCTAACACATCTAATATATAAAAAAAACAAGAGACTTTTCTTAATTATTGTGAGTCTTAGGGTGCATTCACACCTAATAGTCCGTTCTCTGGTGCGCACCAGACGACAGTTTGTTCCATTGTTTCATTTTTCAGAAGGTTCGGTTTGCGTTCACACGGGCAAGACTCAAACGGACTATACACTTTAAACACAAGTCATGTGCACGGAAATGCTGTTCAACCATTGGTCAGACATTAAGGGTAAAAACGCAAATCCCGGCAATTTCCGGAGCCTCCGCCATGGAGCATCGGCAGGTTATTTTCATGCTGCTGTTAATCTGGAGATCAACAGACACTAGCGGCCCGCGCATATGATTATATAATCAGACAACGTCCGTTTAAAAACATTATAACACATATAATGAGAGACGTTCTGCAGTAAGGAGGGCGTTTCACCGACAACAGGTGTTCTTACTTTTATGTTGCTGATGGAGCATTTTTACTTTACACAACACTGTTCAACACTTCATTCTGCTTCACTCTTTAACTGAACAACCGCGGATGTCTTGAAAGACTCTTTCGCTAAAGATTTTGAAGACATCCGCGTTCTTGTGACACGTAAATACTAGGAATACTCTGTTAGTGTAAAAGTCCTGCATTCAAAATGTAGTAAAATAGTAAAAGTATAAAAGTATTATCATCAAAATATAGTGAAAGTAGCGACAGTAAAAGTAGTCATTGTGCAGATTGGTCCATTTCAGAATAATATATATGATATGTTTTATAATGATTGATCATGAAAGTGTTCTCAAAGCTGGTAAAGGTGCAGCTAGTTTGAATGACTTTGTATACTGCAGGGTAGCTTGTGGATTTACTCCAGGTGGAACTAAAGTCTGATTTAACACTTGATTATATTTCACATCATTCATCCACATCTGTGAAGTAACTAAAGGTATTAAATACATGTAGTGGAGGAAAAGTACACCATGTACCTCTGAACTGTAGAGTAGGAGTATAACGTAGCAAAACATTTAGATACACAAGTAAAGTAAAAGCACTTCAGAATTGTACTTAAGTACAGTACTTGAGTAAATGTACTTTGTTACTGAACACCACTGGGTTTAATTCACTACCTAAGTATATTGTATTTACATCACCAGCACAAACAGGTACAGGTTTTTGCAGTTTGATAATACAAAACAAATAAAACTCCAAATCGCATGCCGAGGTACCAAATGCCCCAAAATCCCAAATCTTACCCAGAAGTCAGTACCAATTGATAAAATAAGAACAAGTCCTTATTTTTTTCATAACCCGGCTCTTATGCCTGACAAAAATGTGAAAGGATGCAATGGATGCTGGTAAATTAAAGTATTTTATGTAATAAAGTAAGCATGTACTTGAAAGAAAACTCAAGCTAACACCAAAGGAAGGCCAATACGGGTAGCTGCTCTCAGGAGGGTGTCCAGGAGAAAAGAGAGAAGGAAAGTGGCCTTTGCTCAGAATCTGTGTTACCTTCAAGGACAAGGGGAAACATGTACAGGTAACAAAACAGAGGACAGGACTTCAACTGTCACACACACTCCACAAGGTTTTGCCTCAGCTCAAGTTGAGCTCTTCGTAAAGATACGGGTCCAGCTCTCGGAGAGCATTGATCAGAACCCTGCTGGCTGCAGCTCCTTTATTTCGCACCGCGTCCACCACCTCTCGTGCTCCGTCATTTTGGGGTTTGGTTCTGGCCAACCTCATTTCAGATTCACTGATCACTTCAGACTCAAAGAGTTTATCCAGAAGGTTGTTCAGGACAGTTGGAGTCACTCTTTGAATGAACTCTGTCCGAACTGAGCGCAGCCTCTGGTCTGCTGGGACTCTGCTCTCTGCTGGGACGCTGCTCTCTGCTGGGACGCTGCTCTCTGCTGGGACTCTGCTCTCTGATGGGACTCTGCTCTCTGCTGGGACGCTGCTCTCTGCTGGGACTCTGCTCTCTGCTGGGACTCCGCTCTCTGATGGGACTCTGCTCTCTGCTGGGACATTAAACAGATCTCTTAAACATTAAAGTAACTCAGCATTCCAGGGGTGGATTTATATTCACTTGAAGTTATAATATGTAACATGTCCTCATTAAAATGTCTAAAAACTAATACACCTATGTTATTCATGTTTTGTTGAGTTGAGTACAAACATTATCTCAAATGGTTCAGAGAGACGTGTCATTTTAATCAAGGTAACAGTATGTTCATCACGGTCTCCTGTAATGGCGCCGTATCCACTTAACCATGAGAAGATGAAGACTACAACTCCCATGATGCCACGCTGTTTCACCACCACACTAGTTTTTACTATAGTTTTAGAATATAACAGGTTGTGTGTTTAATGTCGTAATGATACGCTGCCATGGAGCCTTAATAGAGAATGCTATGAGATGGAGCTTTAGAGTTATCCAGTCTATCACTGGGTCTGAGCTCAGGTGGAGTCTTTACCTTCCAGTGGCACGAGACAATTCCAGACTACGTTTCCGTCTTGGTCCTTGACCTTCAAAGCCACTCTCTCTGGGCCCGTCTTCACGAAAACTTGAAATGTTGGATTGTAATCTTCTCCAAAACTTGAGTCAAATTCTTGACGCTGGAAACCAGAAGCAGAAGTTAAACGTTATCTGTTTCTTTCCTGATTGTGATTGCAGCTAAATGTGTGTTAATGAACATTGTGTTTCATCAGAGTATCAGTGACTCACCTCAGGCTGAATATGGAAGCCCTCAACACAGTGCACACTGTAACCTTTATACAGTTCCAGCTCACAGTCACGGGGGATTTTGATGTGCACTGCATGTCCTTGGTGTTTAACAACCTTCAGTAACAGGACATTTGTATCACTTTAAAACACATTCAAAACAACATATGTTGACCGAGCTAATCTACAGAGAGATAAGAATTACAATCTATTAAGAATAACATCATGAGGACATATTGTGAGTAAATGAATTAGAGTGTAGCATAAATATTTGTGGATGAAGTTCCAACACTCAAGATTAATCTGGAAACCGTGACGCAATAAAAAAAATGTAATTAATAACATTAACAATTCCTGCTATGTTTACCATTAATTGCATGGCTAAAAAAGCAGAAGACTCGAGTGCTGTATCAGCAGACAGAAAGACATGCTGAGAGAATCCAACAGAAACCACAAAGAGTGATCTGAAGATTTACAGTTCAGATAGATCTGAGGTTTGAGAAGAGGAGCAGTGTGTGTGGAAACAGCTGTGGTTTAGAACCAGTGTTTAGTCTGATGGTGAGCACATGGCTTTACCTCCTTAGGGACGTTTTTCTGCAGCAGAAATACATCCAGTATTTGATCTTCTCTGAACGGGGGTTGAAGGAACACCAGAACTTGGCCCTTTATCCGCAGAAGCAGAACCCTTTTATGATATCGCAGACCAGGCCAAAGAGAGAGAGGTGAAGCACCTTCACCACCACGTGAGTGGGTGTGACCTCCAGCGGCTCCAAGATGCTCAGGCCTTCATCAGTGATGTGGACGACAGACAACAGGCCGTCCAGGAGCAGCGCTGTGGAGCAAAGAGCTGGTCATCTGTTGCTTTGCTGCTGAAACAGCTTCATCATATTCAATGTCACACCACTTTAGTTCAGAGCTAATGTTCATCTAATGCCATTCACTTTGGAGCCTCACTGGGATGTACCAGTTTATATCCTCCACCTTTTATTTGTAATGTTTAATTATTGTTCCGTCCCCCTGTGATCTTTCTGGATGTGAGCATGCGCAATTATTTTCTAATTTAAAAGACTGCTGAGATGTTTGTAATCTGCAGCCAGAACAGCTGGACTGAGTCCGGTCTCATGTCTGAGTGATTCTCTAGACGTGTGAAGAGTTTTCTAAAGCTTTCAGGGCGTAGAAAGTCTAACTTATAAATGTTGTTGTCTGTTGTTTTGTTTTGTACATGCTTCAGCCAGACTGACAATGGAGAGAGCAGAAAGAGCAACAGATGGATAACAAAGTAATAATTAATCAAACTGCTAGCTTAGAGTGAGTTAGCATTGAGTTAGCACTGTTAGCAGCTAAACATGCTGTGGACTGACAGGTCACAGTTTACATGTCTTTAATATACAGTGAGGAGACTGCAGAGGCCCAAAGACACTCCAACTCAGTATTTAGAGCTGCATTGCATCGTCTGCTTCAATAATGATGTCATGAAACACATCGACTAAATGGATGTTTTAATGATTTCATTCTTCTTCTTTTGGGGACACGACTATTTTGAATGTAAAGAACAGATTTCGTGTCTGAATGATCTTATCTTTGTTAAACTAGTTTAATAAAGCTGCTTCATAACTTCTGAACGGTAGTGGATATTATAAGGTGCTAAACATTATATAAGTGTATTTGTTAACACTAGATGTCTTTACCCTCCTCTGTCTCACTGTGCGGCAGGTGGAGCTGGCAGATGGCAGCTTCAACAGAACTCTTCACGTCGAACAGCGGCCCTGCTGCCTGCTTGCCAGCTGATTGGAGGAGACTCTCATCCCAAGGGACCGTCCTGTACAGAAGCTCCGCCTCCTGAGCCATGACGAACACCAGGCCAGTCGAAGCACACTGGAACTCACCTGGACCAGGACACCTGAACCTGTAGACACACAAGAGACAAGTTACTACAACAAGCCTTCACGGGCCTGTGTTCTGACTGACAGGTGTTCATCCAGCTGGATCTGACCTGGAGGAGGGTTTGTTGAAAGATCTGAAACACCTGATGGTTACAGGAACATCACTGAACATGTGTCCACATGCATCAGGATGTGTGTGTACACTTTCATTCAACTAACAAAATGTCTAGTCCAGCGAGGATCTAGACTGGTACAAGAAAACAATCCTACACACAGAGGCATTATTTTATTCATGTCTGCTGGAAAGAGATTGGATGCAAAACCTCAAGGTGAAAGACATGACATCAAACACAATGAAATGAATATATGTGTTTAATGTGTTTAAAATAATAGTTGGTCATGTTGTAGGGTTACCTGTATGAAGACTCAGGTGTGTGTTCAGGTGAGAAGGATTCAGGAGCCTGGAACAAACAAAGTTATTTATTTTATTATCAAGTTAAGTTCTAGCTTCAACTCTGTACAGCTGCTCCTCTCTCACCTTTGTGTCTGTCTTCACTTCCTGTTCCACATCGGAGACACCTGATGGAGAGAAGAGGTGAGAAAAATAATAATAAAACAATAATAATAATTCTTGTACTATAAATACCTTTTAAGATCAGATTGATTGTACAATATCTTGATGAATGGAGGACATGGTTTCAGTACTCACAGGTCTTCTGGATCGTGGCTCTGATCGTCTCTCCTCTTCTGATCCTGTAGGGATGAACACAATCCAACAGTTTTAGATCCAGTTTAAAATAAGTGTTAGTTCTTTGAGTCAGCTTCAGAGTCCTGATCTCATGCTTTACATCCCATCATATCTTCTCTGCAAACACTACGACTGCCTGCCACAGCTCTCAGCTGCATGACAGGAAGTAACCAGTCATTAGAAACTCAAAACATCCCATCAAGAACAGACTACCTTTCCCACTCTGCTGTCAAACCCCATATGTCTGGTGGAAAGTTGTAGGGCTGCCCCCAATCAGTCGACTCAACGTTAGTCGGCTAAAGAAGTCAGCTGGAAACCCTCAGCCTTCATTCAGAGCGGAGCCTGGTCATTAAGATCATTCTGTCGGGGAGGAAATCTAAAGAGTGGCTCTTTCTGAGCGTAAAGGACGAGTCCCACAAGGTGACATGCAGACTCCACAGAGAAGAAGTCTCCTCCGTATGATTATCCCACAACGTGTGTTCCTCTCTCAGACTGGGAGGAAAGCAGAGTCAGGCAGCAGCCTAGCTCTGTATCAACATATAGAGACCTATAATATAAAATCATTCTGACCTCAGAACACCATAAAGCTCTCATTTCATGATGAGGGCGTCATGTCCGGAGGGATTTCAGCCCACGCTCATATTCTCACTGTTTCCGTTTCCTGTGTAGTTTTTATTGGGTTGTTATATTCAGATATGAATTATAGAAACTAAACTAAATGTTCAGTGTGTGTCCTCGCTGCTTGTTCACACACATTAAGAATCCTCAGCGGAGCTTCTGCTGTTCACACCGCTGCGTCCGTGCGCTGTGACTCTCATGCGCTCTCTACTGTAACATCTCATTTATACTTCAAAGGTTCATTATTACAGTCTTATTATATATTTTATGTGAAGCAACACTGTTATAATAATGTTCTTTATCAGCCTTGGAAACTGAAACCATTTTGGGAGAAAAAAACTAATATATGAATAATCATAATATATCATAAACGTGAGTCGACTAATCGCCTGAACTGACGACTCTCAGTCGACTAGAAGAATCTGTAGTGGAGGGCAGCCCTAGAGAGTAGATTACTGACTAAATGTGGCTTTGCATTTCCAGCTGTTCTTCTATAGTTGATGGAAGAATGAAAGAGCCTGCAGTCAGTGGGTAACATCACTGATCTGTTTCCCCAGAGAGAGAAACACCTCCCTGAGTTTCATACAATACTGCTGAACCAGCAGAGACCCCTTACTGACCTGAGGGTCTCCAGTCTGCAGTCTGGACTCTCCACAAGATCTCTCAGCAGCTCCTCATCTGAATCCTGCAGATTGTTGTTCTCAACTCAGGTCCAGATCTCTCAGATGGAGGTTGGACTTCAGAGCTGAGATCAGAGCAGAACAGCTGATCTCTGACAACCTGCACCACTCCAGTCTGAATAAAGAAAACATGATGAGGATAAAGATGAGTTTATAATCAGATGTTTCTCAACATGTTTGTATAAATGTAAATATGTAAGTAGCAATAACTTGCAGAAATGATTTAAAGGATAATCATTGATCAGCAGTGAGTAAGGGGATCAATAAGCATCTGCTTCCTCCTGCTCCCTTTGGACACATATCATGTATTATTATGAATATTTGTGTTGAATATATAAATATCATTATGAATATTGATAAATACTTTATTCTCACAATACGGTATTCTGTTTTTCACATTAGTTATTTTTTATTTGTTGTTTTTTAATCTGTTTGAAATAAAGATGTAAATGAAAATAAATGAAACATTGAAATGAAAGAACAATAAAATGTGTCTCCTTCAGAAAGTAAACTTCATCATGTCAAACTAATATCACTTCAGATGACCTTTATTCAGACGTTATCGTTTACTAAATATTAAAAACATAGATTTACTTTTTACAAATAACAGCAGATATCTGTAACAGTTCCTTTAAGAACTTTATTTAGTACGTAAACATTTAAATTAGGGCTGTGCAATTAATCGTATTTTAATCTCGATTACGATTTTGGCTTGCAACGATTATGAAAACAACGTAATCGAAATAAAACGATTATTTAGCTGCGTTCCCTTTCTCAACGATGCTCTCAATGTGTCTTGCGTCACACACCCTGCCCCCCCCCCCCCCTCAAAGCCCTCTCAGCAGGTCGTGCTGTGACTTGCAGTCTGTTTCATAAATCCATAGAAACACGTCACAAGGGAAGCTTTAGTTTCTTTATTCTCCGTCTCGAGCGTCAACTTCCACTAACTCGTCCAGCCGGAGCCTCTCAGCTACTTCCTGTTTCCAGATGAGGGGTTACCAAAATAAGAGCACTGCATGGAGCAGTATAACTAAACATTACAGGTTGAGAGTGACGTTAGTTATCATATTTATATATGTTTAGTAGGTTGTGGAAGTGCGCTCCAAAATATTTGTTGATCTTCTTTATTGGTATTTATTATTTAGATATTATTTATTTAAATGTAGATATAAATATATAATTTATTTTGTATTGGTTTTTCAGTTGAATTAAACTTAAAGTTCAGGGTAATCAACGGTTAAAAACATACTGTTCAAATTATTATTATTTTTAAAGTTCAATAAATGGATGTTTTCAAAGTCAATGAATAATCGTATTTAATAATCCTGATATCAATTTTGACCAAAATAATCGTGATCATGATTTTTGCCATAATCGAGCAGCCCTAATTAAAATATGAATAAAACAACAATTACAAACATATGGATGTAATATATTAATTTAGAAGAATCAGGTTGAATAACTAATGAAACATGAGATCTAAGGGAGGCTGTGGCTCAGTGAGATAGTGCGCTGAACTTTGAATCAGGGGGTCACAGGTTCAAACCCCACTGCAGTCAGCATGTCATTGTGTCCCTGAGACACTTCACCCCAAATTGCTCCTGTGGGGATTGTCCACAGTATTGAATGTATGTAAGTCGCTTTGGATAAAAAAAAAAGAGTCTAACAAGTGACATGTAATGTAATGTAATCTCCAGCAGTAACAGAGAGTCAGTGAACTGACCTGAGACTCTCCAGAAGATCTCTCAGCTTCACTCCTGAATCCTGCAGATCATTGTAACTATATTGATAAGATATTGATAAGATATTGGGGCGTGATCACAGGACCATCAAACGTCTTGTTGAAAATAGTCAACAGGGTCACAAGAAACGTGTTGAGAAAAAGATGAAATGAAGTGCCAAAGATTTGAGAAGAATGAAACGTGAAGTTACCAGGAAGCCATTATCCTCCAGTATCATATTCCAGAGCTGTGAGCTATCTGGAGGGCCCAGAAGTCTCAGGTGTTCAGAGACATGGCCAAGGTAAGAGAGGCTGAAACCCAACCTCCACTGAACAAGACACACAAGTTCAAACTTCAAGACTGGGCCAAGAAATATCTGAAGACAGATCTGTCAAAGGTTTCATGGACTGATGAGATGAGGGTGACTCTTGACGGAGCAGATGGATCAGTAACAGGCACAGAGCTCCACTTCCACTCAGACACCAGCAAGGTGGAGGTGGGCTACTGGTGTTGTTAAAGATGAGCTAGTTGGACCTTTTCAGGTTGAAGATGGACTCAAAATCAACTCCTGAACCTACTGCCAGTTTTTAGAAGACACTTTCTTCCATCAGTGGTACAGGAACAAGTCTGCATCTTTCAGGAAGACCATGATTTTATGAAGGACAACGCTCCATCACAGGCATCAAAGTACTCCTCTGTGTGGTTAACCAGTAAAGGCCCATGACATGGCCCTCTTCCTCACCTTAACCCTTCCTCACCTTAACACTTGCTCACCTTTCCTAAACCCTTCCTCACCTGACGTAAACCCTTCCTCACCTGACCTTAACCCTTCCTCACCTGACCTAAACCCTTCCTCACCTGACCTTAACCCTTCCTCACCTGACCTAAACCCTTCCTCACCTGACCTTAACCCTTCCTCACCTGACCTAAACCCTTCCTCACCTGACCTTAACCCTTCCTCACCTGACCTTAACCCTTCCTCACCTGTCCTAAACCCTTCCTCACCTGACCTTAACCCTTCCTCACCTGACCTAAAACCTTCCTCACCTGTCCTAAACCCTTCCTCACCTGACCTTAACCCTTCCTCACCTGTCCTAAACCCTTCCTCACCTGACCTTAACCCTTCCTCACCTGACCTAAAACCTTCCTCACCTGTCCTAAACCCTTCCTCACCTGACTTTAACCCTTCCTCACCTGTCCGAAACCCTTCCTCACCTGTCCTTAACCCTTCCTCACCTGTCCTAAACCCTTCCTCACCTGTCCTAAACCCTTCCTCACCTGTCCTAAATCCTTCCTCACCTGACCTTAACCCTTCCTCACCGGACCTTAACCCTTCCTCACCTGACCTTAACCCTTCCTCACCTGACCTTAACCCTTCCTCACCTGACCTTAACCCTTCCTCACCTATACTTACCTTCAAAACCTCTCTTAAAGAGCACCTTCGGGGGAAAGCATTGCAAAACTGGCCCCGGTAATGGTACAAATCTCAACCTGTCGTACAATGGACAGCTTCCCCCCCCCATCTATGTATATACTCGCATTTTAGACTCTGTTACTAACTGTATATCTGTAGACTTGGTATGTCTTAAATGTCCGGTTAGGATGTATTAGAACGAAATCTAAAATGTAAATTGTAAATAAGCCATCTGTATGTCAAATATGTCTTATATGTCTTAAATGATATGATGAATTGGAAATGGGGGACTCTGATGTAAACAAGACGAAAGTCTTTCTCTGGTCTGCATCCCCTTAACAATTGTATGTTTTGAGCTGTACTGTACTGTACCCAATATACAAGCTGTTAATAAACTTTTCAATCAATCAATCAATCAATAGCATTTTTCGCTCGTTGCTAATTCAGAGGCTCGGTGTTAGCATTGTGGGTTTTCTTTTGAAAAATAAATAAAAATGATCAGTTAGAAGTTTCTTCCCGTTACATGGATATAAAACATTCAGAGTTTTATTAAATGAACATGCCCTCAGACACTGTTTCCTGCAAGATGTCTCTCGGGCTTAACAGGTTAAGAAACAGTCAATATTTATGTCTGAAGTTCTTCATTTAGTACGTGAAGATGAAAACATGAATAAAAGGACATTTACTCTTTTATGAATGCAAGTTATTAACCTGTTAAGCCCGAGAGACCCCGGTACCGGGGCACTACCGCAACATCTTGCAGGAAACAGTGTCTGAGGGCATGTTCATTTAATAAACTAAAGTGTGTGGGGGGACTCCCCAGTGTTTCCCCTAGGATGGAGTCATAGCAGCGGTGCTAAGGCATGTGGACCCAGCATAATGTGAGCACTGGGGGGGTGGAATTTTTTAGTGTGTGCACGTGCGAAGTGCACCCCGCCAATTTGTTTCTATGTGTCTGCCAGCACAAGAAAGGCTCTTGAGGCCTAGTACCAGGGCAGATTCTAGCCAATTTGCTGCCCTAGGCGAGATTTTATATAGAATAAATGAAAAATCTCTACAAAAGACAAATACACTACAAAAACAGAAACTTATTGATATAGGTAATATACGTCATAATGGCTTCAAATGTATTCAGTATTGTATGAACATGTTTGAATTGGGGGGTGGACGTCACCTCATCTAGGGGGGTCCGGGGGTCTGGCCCCCCGGGAAGATTTTTTTGAACATTTTAAAGTAAAATGCTTCAATCTGGTGCACTTGGAGCACACAATTACTAGAGACCTGATCTAGGGGGTACAACTCTAAAACACCCATATGAAAAAGATCGGTTTACATTTTAATCATCAAATAAGTATGTGAACATAACCAATAACCTACCATAGCCAATAACAAATAAATGTAACTTTTTTATTTTTGTTGTTCATTCATATCTTATTTTACCTTAACATCTATTTATTCATGCATATTTTTGTATCTCTCCAACTTTAAACAATATTTTTGGTTTACTGTCCTATAGTATACATTGGAATGATTTCACACCTGTTTTCATTTATCCTAATAATTATAAAGGAGTGCCTTGGAAATATGTGTTTACATAATTTGTGGTCAAAACGTTTGAGACCCACTGAGATAACTTAGACAACAATTAACTATCTAAACCCTCAGAGAGTCCTTTACCTCACTGAGCCTCTCAGTCTGACAGGAGAGCTCTCCTCCACCCTGGTTGTAGAAACATCTACTTCTTATATCCGTTAGCGCAGCTAGCACCAGATTCTAATAACAACAGCGCCGGTACCGGTGCGCCCTCTCTCTCTCTCCCTCGCTCGCTCTCTCGCTCCCACGCTCGCACTTTGGCTGTGAGCTGCGGGCGCCTGATAAGCCAACATCCCCCACTTTCATCACTCGTGATTGCCCATCGTACAGGGCAAATAAAAAGTGTAACCGGGGTGAAGGGTGTTTCATTTACTTAATTATGAATGTTGTTACATCAAGGCCAAAAAGTAGGATGAGCGCCAACGGTCAAAAATGTTTTTTCCCCTCCCAGAGCTACCAGCGCAGCGCCCCCCAGATCTGGCGCCCAAGGCGACCGCCTATGTCTCCTATGCCAAAAATCGGCCCTGCCTAGTACATACAGTGGCAATGTCTCAAGATTTAGCAAAAATACGCCTTTATTGAACATACATTAACACAAATACTACAAATCCACATAACAAACAATCAAAAATGAAAAAGGGTCGCTACTTATTATTATTTTAGTTTTTTTTAAAAAGTTAATTTTTTTTTTAATTTTTTTTTTGGGTACCTGGCTGGCACCCCCTAGCAGCGGCGCGCATATTTCAGCAGCGGCGCTGCGCCGCCACTATTTGTATATAGGGGAAACACTGCTCCCCCTTCGATTCTATTGGCTCTAACGGTCAGAAAGAGGTGTCAACCATCAAAATCGAGCAAGGGAGGCCAGAGATATGGAAAATCCACCCAAATGACCCCAGAAGTGGTTTATTTTTGCTAAATCTCTCTAAAAAGAGACCCTTTTAGAAGGGAAGATATGGTCATTTGTTCTGGGAATGTCATTTCCGAGCCTGAGACCTGAAAAACAGGCTCAGGGCTTAACAGGTTAATGTACATAAATTAGGTTGAATTACAAACTGAACATGAGATCTCCAGCAGTAACAGAGAGTCAGTGAACTGACCTGAGAGTCTCCAGTCTGCAGTCTGGACTCTCCAGAAGATCTCTCAGCAGCTTCACTCCTGAATCCTGCAGATCGTTGAGACTCAGGTCCAAATCTCTCAGATGGGAGGGGTTGGACTTCAGAGCTGAGATCAGAGCAGAACCGCTGTTCTCTGACAGACTGCAGCTCCTCAGTCTGAATAAAAAAAACATCATGAGGATTAAAATCTGTTTATAATCCAGTCAGATGTTCAGGTCTGAAATGTGCAGCTCATCATTACTGCTTCCTAATCAATGATATTTTCCCTGAATTACAGTGACTGTCATTCTATTATTGTGGATCATCATTATATCAGCCTTCTGTTTATTATCTGTAAAAACACATCTAAATGATGGGAACATTAACATTTCTATGTCAGAAAGTAAACTTTACGTAAAATAATATTAGTTCATCTTCCGGTGAGCCTTTCAAGATGGCGACATATATAGAAAACTCTCCCAGTCAATTTGAGTTTAAAACCCCTTAAAACACGATATTTTTTAATACAAGACACCAAAAGGATGAGTGGGGTTAAAGGCAAGAAACCACTGGGGAAAACAAAAAACTAGGACGAGGGAAAAGACAAGAAAACCAGAGACGGATGCGGGTAGTGAGGAGGAAGACATTTCCACGGCTGAGGCTATGCAAAACTTGGGCAAGGATATAAGAGACTTAAAACCTGCGCTAAAACTAACGGACTTTAAGAACGACTTCAGACAAGACATGAAACAGGAATTCAACTCTTTCAAGACGGAGATGAAAAAAAAATTACAAAGCGTCGTTGGTGATGTCCGCAATGTTAGCACGAGGCTAACTGAAGCAGAGCAACGGGTGGAGGGAACGGAGACCGTGGCCACGGACCTGAGAGACACTCTGCTCTTTTCTCTTAAACAACAGAGGCTGCTTCAAGCAAAGGTAACGGACCTAGAAGGAAGATCCCGCTGCAACAACATACTCATATACGGTATAAAAGAAGGAACAGAAGGAAGCTCTATGCTCACGTATATTGACACATTGAAAACTTGTTGCGTTTGCACACGACCTTCCTACCGAAATAAATAATAAAGTTAAGGAATTCAAAAACAAGATTCTTAAAGAGAAACAAATAGGGTTCCAGTCACCATACCCAGCGGAAATCAGGATCCATTGGGAAAACGGACCGCGCCTCTACACTACCGCAACAGAAGCAGCGGAGGATATGAGGACGAGAGGCTTCTCCATGGACCTGCCGCGGCCGACGAGCCCGGACTGGGAGCAGAAACTCGCTCAAGGAGACCGTTGGAGCAGAGCGGACCAGGAGCGCACCGAACGAGTCAGAGAGAAGATTAAAGATTTCCACCGACAGAAGGACTGAACACTGTTAACCTGTTAAGCACCTAGCCTGTTTTTCATGTTTCAGGCTCGAAAATGACATGCCCAAAACAAATGACTACAACTTAACTTCTAAAAGGGTTATAGGAATACTTTCTTTTATCAAAGCAAGGTTACATCTGTGAGTTGGATGTAGAAGTGTCAGAATCAATATAAATGTTTTTTATTTTAAAGAAAATTCAGATTTTACATAGTAAAAAACTGTAAATTATAGTGTCCGTCCAAATATTATTTTTTACAGATAGTGAAAACTACCCTTGGATGATGGGTTAGTAGACTAAAAGCTTTAGGAATCCAAAGTACAACATATAATAAGTACCCTGTCTCAAGATTGATGCAAAACAAGTGACATTTGACCTTTTTAGAGAGGTTTAGCCAAAACCACCCCACCTCTGAGGTGATTTGGGTGAAAATGGTTTTTTTTTCTATATCTCTGGCCCCCCTTGCTCGATTTTGATGGTTGACACCTCTTTCTGACCGTTAGAGCCAATAGAATCGAAGGGGGAGGCCCACATACACACTCATTGTAAAGAGAAAAGGTGGGGGCTGCGCGCATGTAAATCTAGGTTAGAGTGGAGCGATCTCTCCCTCTGGAATTTGGAAACTAAAAAGCAGTTTTATTGCTTATGGATTATCAGAAATAATTTCAAAGAGGGCACAGATACATTGGATGAACCTATGGATTAACTGCAGCATCGTTTTTTTATCGTTTTTTTATCGTTTTAATGCCATTGAAGACCAGTTTTGACCAAGGTAAGCCATGTTAGCGTTTCTAGCTACTTAGCTCTACATGTTATGATGTACGCTTTCGTTTATAGCGTCGCAAATGTTTATCACTGAGTGTTGAAGAGGGCACCACTAGATTCAGTGTCTCCAGGACACCAAAGACGAGTGGTTGGCTGTACATCTAGGATAAGTAATAAGGGAGTTAGAGTGAGTTTAAGTGCCGTTTTAGGTAAAATTTTTCGCTCGTGGCTAATGCAGAGGCTGAGTGCTAGCATTGTGTTTTTTTTTTGGATTTAAAAAAAAAAAAGATCAATTAGCTGAGTTTCTTCCCGTTACATGGATATAAAACATTCATAGTTTTATTAAATATTAAGATTCCTTAGACGTTGTTTCCTGCAAATGACGCGTTTATCCGCCCGGTACCGGGGGGGCCGTGCATAACAGGTTAATGCGAAAGTCTCGAGGTATACGTTTTTATATCCCCCACAGAATTTCTTCTCCGCCCCGACCCGGTTAAAAACCTTTTATTATGGTCAAACGCGAAAGCTTCCCTTCTCCCCTATTCTGTGCATCACTGAGGAGGTGGTGGCAGACAGGAGTCCTCACTGTGGAGGTGGTGGGAGACAGGAGTCCTCACTGTGGAGGTGGTGGGAGACAGGAGTCCTCACTGTGGACGTGGTGGGAGACAGCAGTCCTCTGGACACTGTGGAGGTGGTGGGAGACAGGAGTCCTCACTGTGGAGGTGGTGGGAGACAGGAGTCCTCACTGTGGACGTGGTGGGAGACAGCAGTCCTCTGGACACTGTGGAGGTGGTGGGAGACAGGAGAATGGCAGCCAAGCTGTCCCCCCTACTGGACAATGTGTCCCCCCCCCTCCAGGACACCCTGTCCTCACTGTGCAGCTCCATCTGCGACAGGCTGCTGCACCCCTGCTGTCTCACGGAGAGATACCGACCGCAGGTCTTTCCTTCCTGCAGCGGTCAGACTATTACAACCAGCACAGCCCCTAGTAGACCGCACCACCCCCACCCCACACACACACACACACACACACACACACACACACACACACATGCGCACGTGCACGCACACACACACACACACACACACACACACACACACACACACACACACACACACACACACACACACACACACACACACACACACACACACACACACACACACACAACAGCACAGACTATAACACCCCTTGTTGTTAAACACCAACCATGTGCAATATGTGCAATATATACTGTATATATATTCCGTGAATAACTGCAATATGGCTGATAAGTCTGATAAGTCTGGATGCAGAGAAAGCTTTTGATCGTGTCAGTTGGGAATATTTGTTTCTGGTTCTGGAGCGCTTTGGTTTTACTGAAAAATATTTGAATAGTATCAAAGCCTTGTACTCTGCCCCCACAGCGAGAATCAGAATAAATGGCCGTCTCACTGACCGTATATACAATTGGAAAGGTTAGCTCCAACAACGTCAAGCCTTTGGGCTCTGAAACTACGGGACGGGCCGAGGACAAATACACATGCGTTAATCACACGTTAAAATAATTAGTGGCGTTAAAAAAAAATTGCGCTGACGCGTTAACTTGACAGCCCTAATATATATATAGATATATAGCATATCATTGATGCAGTCTTTCTGAACACTTTTAAAAGAAAATACTGCAAATGAAGAATATTTTTTATGTTCTGCACAGATAGTGCCTTAACTTGAATTTGAAAACACGTGGCAACTTTATTAAAGGTCCCATGTCATGGCCATTTCTACTGATCATAATTCAATTGTTGAGGTCTACTAGAATAGATTTACATTGTTCAATTTTCCAAACTCACATTGGTTTCTCATACAGCATCTCTGTATAGTATGTGTATTCACTCTCTGTCCTAAACGCCTTGTTGGAGCTCCTGCCCCCCCCTCCCTATGAGCCCACTGTGCTCTGATGTGTGTTTATGTGTTACAATGGCGTTTGTTAGCAGCCAGAAAAGGACACCACACTGTAAAAAATGGCTGTGAAATCCACAGTTATTTACAGTGTTTGTGCACAGTAAATTACTGTATACCATTTTAGAGTATAATACCGTGTTTCCAACCAAAAAATACAGCAACTCTGGAGTTACTGTAGAAATAGCAGTAGTAACGTCCCAACTGTATATATTCACAGTAACCAACAATGTATTGTATACAATCACAGTAACCAACAATGTACTGTAGATAATCACAGTAACCAACAATTTGCACGCTTTGAGAGCAGCCAGGCTGTGGAGGTACAGAGGGACCAGGAGCTACACTGCCCTTTTGTTTTAAATAGGGCAGATGTGTGTAAATCCTTTAAAAGGGTTAACCCACACAAGGCTCCTGGACCTGATGGCATCCCTGGCCGTGTTCTCAGGGTGTGTGCAGTTCAGCTGGCAGAGGTGTTCACAGACATCTTCAACAGGTCCCTGCTGCAGTCTGTAGTCCCCACATGTCTTAAACACTCCACCATCATTCCTGTCCCCAAAAAGACAATCATCACCTGCCCCAACGACTACCGCCCAGTAGCACTCACCTCCATCATAATGAAGTGCTTTGAGCGGTTAGTCAAATTATTCATCACCTCCTCCCTCCCTGAATCTCTGGACCCCCCTGCAGTTTGCCTACAGAGCAAACAGGTCCACAGACGACGCCATAGCCCTCACCCTCCACACTGCCCTCTCACACCTGGACCCGAAGAAGAGGAACACATATGTGAGAATGCTGTTCATTGACTACAGTTCAGCATTCAACACCATTGTGCCCTCCAAGCTGGCCATCAAGCTCAGAGACCTCGGGCTCAACAGCGCCCTCTGTGACTGGATCCTGAACTTCCTGACGGGCAGACCCCAGGCAGTGCGGGTGGGAAATATCACATCCTCCACCCTGATTCTCAACACCGGTGCCCCTCAAGGCTGCGTGCTCAGCCCTCTCCTCTACTCCCTGTTCACCCACGACTGCGTGGCCACACACAGCTCCAACACCATCGTGAAGTTTGCTGATGACACGACCGTCATCGGCCAGAT